TATTTTTATTAAAAATAAATTAACAAACAATAAATAATAATAATAATAAATAATTATAATTTTATTAATAATAATTAATAATAAATATTTATTAAATCTTTCAGAATTGTTTCTCCAAGCAAAGTTAGATTTCCTTCCAATCCATCTATAAAATACATTAAATATTAGTTACCTTTGCAATTTTAAGTACGAACATTCACAGCCACTGCTTACGCAATCATCTGAAATAATTTTCAGTTTTATGCTAACAAATCACACATTTTAACATTCATTTGGAACTTTTCAGTAAAAAAGAGAATAAATACATGATGCCATGCATTAACTTTCTAAAATTATTACCAACTTTAAAAAACCTCAAACAATCAATGATGACGTGCATTATGAAAATTAAAAACATTTCTTTAACATACATAATAATAAATGAAAATGTATACAGCCTTAAAAATTTTACCTTATCCACTGAGTGGCAAGACTGCTTTTATCTGGTCACGAGATTTTTTATGATTTGGTATATATTGGATTATAATTTAAATATTTTGCTTTCTAACTTTAATGATGTAAATAGCGTCTTAATGAATGGAAGTTTATAAAAACAGAAACTAAAATAAGTTGTTTTGAAACTTTACATAATCAAAAATTTAAAAAATAGGTTTTCATGGGCAGATCCAAAAAGCTATGCCACTCGTAGAGTTAAAGCATGTTTAAATAAATGTAAAATAAGCAGCTAACATAGTATGGTACACTTAATACTGTGAAACTTTAAAGGAATAAATTACACCACAAAAACTTCGTATAAAATTAATTTTATTTCAAGGTTTACAATAATTTTTAAATAAATATTGTACATATATATGAATGAGATATTTCATCATCAGTTCACTTTTACAATAATGCAAACACTTTAATCTCAAACATTGACGAATTCGAATATCACAATGCTCCAACATCTGTTCATGAAAACAATAATGCTTTCATATTTGAAATATATACACATTAGCAGCATAATCTAACTATTTTATAACTGAAATATAATGTTTGAAATATAAATACTACATGTACAAACTGCATTTGAGTAAGGGATAAACAAAAGTATTTATCATGATATATTTAAAGTATAACATTCCAATAGTTCTCTCTCTTAAAAAACTGAGCAAAAAGAAAAAAAGGATCCAAGAAACTGCCTTTCCCCCCCATATTTGAAGAAAAGGCCTCATTTAAGACTGGTTGCACTGAATGGCTTGTGAAAATTCTGATTCTTCATCCTGATTATCAGAATCAGAGGAACTTGAGTTGCTGCTAGCAGCATCACCATTCATTTCACTCCACAGGACGGGCTATAAAAGCAATACATATATTTATTTTCTATTTATTAAGAATCACTTAATTTAGGAAAGGGTGGGAACATCAAGAATTTTTTATTGAAAAACTTTAAAAAGGCTAAATGACTGCTAAATGAAATATATTGTAGAATAAACTTCACATAACAGATAAATTTTTAGCCATGATATACAAGTTGTGTTTGGGATTATTCAATGCCTAATTCCTTCAAGGTTTCACTATGACAATGGCACAAATACAAGACTCGGCTCACCATAATGTTAAGTATTCGTGAATTAAATTAACTTGCAAATGAATGCCTCTCATAGAATACGTATTATACATATATATATAAAAGCATCTTCTGATTATTTGTCCAATCCTCCTGAAAAGTCATCATTTATTGGCGACTAATTTTTTACCTAAGAAGTGAAATATAACAGCCATTTTCAAATATGACACTGCATTAAGAATTACATAAAACAGCAACAAATTAACAAAATTGAAAAACACAAGAAACATCCATAATAACCCCCTTTTTTGTTGGTGCTGATCTCCCCACATACACAACAACTTGTTTTAGCTTCAAAAAATATCAGATAATTGCACACTTTAAAAAACATCAAAGGACTGCACAAATTTGGCATTACATATGCTGTTGTTTTTCCAAGAATAGAGCAATCTTCTGTGTTTGCTTAAAAAGAATCAGACCTACAGAAATTTGGCATTGGTGCACAAATTTTGTTCCACAAAATTCAGTTTTTACAAAATACAACTAAATGGAATCCAAATTTTTGCTATTAGGCATAACGCCATATTTCTGAAGAAATGCAATGCTTTCTCTTTCATCAGCCAACAACTCTATACCTCCATTACAAATCCTTATACGAGAGAGAGACCCAATGCTATGAACACAAACACCATTGTCCTGGACATTGTTTTTTGTGCATGCATGCATACCTTGGTTGGCACATAAAAATGATATTTTGGCAACATAGCACATTGCCTGGTGAATTCTTTTCAGGGTTGGGCAGATAATCAGAAAGTACCAAAAGTTTCTTTAAAATATAAATTAAGTTTGCAGATACATTTATAATTAAAAAAAAAAAAAAAAAAAAGAGTAAAATGTTCCCTCCCCCCCAGAACATTTTAAGTAATTTGCCAACAGCAAATAAACATTTGAAGTCTTATTTAACCACTTCTTTATATACAATTATGTTTGTCTTAGAAAAGGCAGACAAGGAAATGGTAGATATAATTTCAAAAAGCTAATGCTACAGCATATTTGAATACACTTTAATTCTTATAAATCATAGTCACATCTAATTTTTGTTAATTATTCCTTTAAGATCTATACTATTTAAAACAGAAGAGAAACATGCCATTATATAAAATTAGTAACAAAACAATCTTGAGTTTGCAGTTTGGTGTAGATTTATGTCAAGATCTCAATTGATTTTGAGGGCAAACAGATACAGGTCCCTCATAGTCAGAAGTAAAGAAATCTGAAGGACTGGAAAGCAGTGGGAGTAACTGTCGTATTTATACTCCATAGTAAAGTGAACGAGAAGATACAGAGTGTGACACTGAGTGTTCCAAGATAAGTTATGAAACTGACATTAATCAATTCAACAGATGGTTTTTGAATAAAATGAAAGTTTAATGAACTAACCCTTAGCGCTCGGCTGGCTCCATTTGTTCCACAGCTCCTTAGGTTGTGCTGCAGAGCCAAATGTTTTTAGCATGATTACACTTAAGATGCTGCAGTATCATCGGCGTTGGCGATTGCTATCTGTAGTTAAAACATGCTAAGTCTCTGTACTGTTATGATTAAACCATTTTCTGACCTTTTTTATGGTTAGGAACATGGAGAAAAATAATTTTTATGATGAGAATTTACAACTGAGTGGTAGTGAAGACGTGTTTGATTTTCAAGTGTTTATGGCTATTGTGAAAGACAATGTTGATTACAATTCTGACACTTCAAGTAGTGGCTCTGAAATCATACTACCAAAGAGACAACGCATGAGAATTATTGAAAGTGAAGATGAAGACTCGCAGGAAGACTCAATGTGACACTTGCCCTCAAGTAAAGACAGGATGCGCATGGGAAATTGTTTTCAAAGATATCATCACACTATGGTGAATTACAAATTTAAAATTCATCTTTCATTTGCAAGAAGAAAGTGCATATGTATAAAATAAATAAAAATTAAATACATTCAGAAGCACGTGTAATTCTTCTCACTTAAAATAAGACTTCTTTTCACTCATTCTGCTGCAAAAATGTGCCGGACTTACTGGTAGGCAGTGGTACAAAAATGTGTGGAGTGCTAAGGGCTAACATTAAATGAAATTTGGATAAGTTTGTCAGAAGAATACCTGAACTTACTAAAGCAAGCTGCTTGTATTTTACTTCCTTTTCTGACAACATATTTGCAAAAGTCAGATTTTTTACATTATAACAAAATATACACACTGACTTCATGTTGCATATGATAAATGAATTCAGGTTTCTAACACTGTGCCCGACATTAAAAGAATTTGTAATCGATCGTACAACAAAACCAATGAAAACTAAGTATTTTAGTTTTTACATTATTTATTTCCTTTCATTAGTTTGTAGGGATTTATATTTATTTTCACTAACAAGTTAAGCTTTCCTATAAACCTTGATTCCCCAAATTGTCAACACCAAAATATTTAAATTTGGTAGCGCGCATGAAGTAATGCAAATTCTACTTTTTGGAGAAAACGTTTAAATACTGAGAAGGGAAGTTAGAGAGAGTGTGGGCAAGCACTGTACCTTTGTAGCATGAGCTACTGGTTCTGCATTTATTGCTGGTTATAGTGGCATAACAGCTATTACTTTGCTGCCACTTGACTCGGCGCGGTTTTAGGTAACAGGATTATCCGAGCCCTGTAGAATAATTCTACTGCTTGTTAATATCACTAAATTTTTTCAGTTCTTGTTTGTTGAGTTACCGCCTGAGTGAGATGCAGAGTGTTAGCGTCAAGTCAACGCATTGTAAATTTAAAAGAGTTTTAATACAGGGTTCTCTTCACCCTTTTCCTATCTGGTTCCTGCATATACTTCAGTTATCATACCTAAAACTAAAAAAGTAGACATCACAAGTTTTATGTGTTATTATTCATAAAATTAAAAAAATATTTCTTTCACAGGTATGATATAAAATTGGAATAAGTGTTCATTTCATTTATCTAATATTCCTAATATTATTAAAACTAAAAACCCAGATTTACTCTAGCGTTCCTTAAAAAAATTTTTAAACTCGGTAAGTTTGGTAGAAACTCATCTAAATACACACTGAAATTTCGAAATATCTATTTATTACCCTGAACTGTTCATTTAAACTTCTCACAAAATTCAGAAACATACAGTTGATGATTTCTTACATGTTTATAATTAAAGATTTCTTTATGAATGAACATTGAACACATACTATGCACTGAACTATGTACATTCAGCTAGTAGAAATCTGTGTAAACTGAAACACTGTGCTCCTTCCATGTACGGGATATTGGTAATATGCAGATATACAATTTTTAGAGCAAATGTTTGTAATCTATACTTTGTATATGTATTTGTAATAAAATATGAATCTTAAATACACACAGCTTGTATTAACATGCACAAAGAGTTGACTGATATCAATCAGAGTTGGCAAGTTTCTTCCACACTGGGAAAATACTGACCAGAAGAAATAAATTTTTGAGCTTATTTTATTCATATGTAACACTGTTATATTACCAATTTAAACATTTTCATTGTTTATACAATTTAATTAGTCTCAGTAGTTTGCTTAGATAATAACCTTTTCTTGATTATATTTGCATACATATATAGTTATATATATGCCTGCATACTATGAGATCTGCTTTCACTTTGGTTTAGATAAGATTCTGAAACTGAATTTCATTTTATGTCAATAACAGGAACTGCAAAATAATTATCTGCAAAGGAAAGATACCGAAACAGAATTGGGGAGAGAACCTGCAGATGTTTAAAAATGTAAATATACACATTTTTTAAGCAATTCTGATAAATAATTTTAAAAAAGCAAATGCAATGAAGCTGTGGACAGAAGGATATGTTTTTGCACTTTCCAAAGAGGAACATTCCCGTTCCATAATTTAACCAAAAATCAACTGCAAGGTTTTTAATACATTTTTAGCAATAAATAAATAAAATAATAAGCCAAAATTTACAACTTTAAGAGGGTTAAAAAATATAATGTTCACCATATTTTATCAGGCAGCTCAATGCAGAACAATTTGTGGAACCCTGAATGAAAACTATTTAGCAGAAGATAAATGAAAATACACTGTGATCCTTGATGAAACATGGGTTTATCTAAATCAAAGAAAAGTCTATTTATTTTGTGGAAAACGAAGAGGAAAAAAACGTACAAAAGCGGTTGCATCAATGCAAAGAAAGTTCTAGTTTATGATAGTCACAAAATCCTCTTACAATAGGAAATTAAAAATAAGAAGAGTGGAAAAAAACATTAAAATCAACTCAACGTAACTACCAAGAGAAAGTTTTACTTATGTTGGAAGTAAAATTTTCTCTTCTGATATTTACAGAAAAAATTCCATTTTTTTATCCCAATTAGTTTCAAAGAGCGAAACTTCATTTAAAAAAAAAAAAAAAAAGAGAGAGAGAGAGAGAGACACTTTGAAAAAAACCTCTACATTCCTTGAAAAAATGAAGACAGATACAGGTTTTGCACATATACCTTTTCATTGATTTCTGCGAAGTCCCTTGATGTGTTTAATTTGTTGTCTATTGAAAAAGAGTTCTTTCTAAGTATAAACGAATCACAATTGTTGGACTCTGAAAAGCAATGGAAGAGGAATGGAAATTTTATGAAAAGCCCTTCTAGCATGGAAATCACGATGCAGACTGACAGTCCAGAAAACAGGCTATCAGGTCGAACACATAAAAAAACACTCTTTACATTTTAAACATCAAATAAATGGCCCTGAAATCATTCTAAAAATGTGTAAACATTCTCTGTACAAAACTGAAAAAATTGGTTGCATAATAAAAATAAATAAAAGTAAAAACAGCATTTTTTGCTACTGCACACAATGACCAATTTTTTGTCTTGAATGGATGAATTTCAAAGAAGAGAAAAATTGTTTTAATGCAACTGAACTTCAGTCTTCACAGAGGAGAAAGTCAGATGGAATAAACTGATTTTTTACTTCATATTATATACTTGTATTTTATTCATATATAACATTACTATAATACTAACCAACTTAAGTATTTGCATTGCACATATGGACAAGAAAATAATTAAAGTACTATACAAATCTTAAAACAATGTATTATTCCTAAAAACTAATATTTCATATTAAATTAACAATATTAGAAACCCACGAATTGTAATGACATTTTTTTTAATTGGATCAAACATGATTGAGGAGGCAAAAATTCAATGAAATTGTTAAATCAATAAATGAATGAAAATTTTACCACACTGGATTTTTGGAGAAAAAATAATTTGTATTTTACTGCAAAAATGATAAATCATTTAGTTTAAAATAACTTAAGCCATTATTAATAAATTTACTCTTTTAGCAGGGCCATGGATGCATCTCTGTTCATATCTTTCAGAAGAAACCCGGCCCTGATTGACATAGTTCTCATAAAGATGCACAACTATATTAACTAAATGTTCAAGTGTTTGTTTAACTAAAGTTCAGGCAATCAAATAAAACTGAGTCAAATGATGTTAACTTTTGTGCACATATATTTCAATAAATAGAGAAAAAATCTCCCCACCTTCCACAAAAAAATCAACACTTTACTAATGGGGGATGTGAAAAAACGCTATCCAATTATAAAAAGACAGAATTTCAGTTCATTTCATAAAATTACTTTATGGTCTTCAAAGCTTGAATGTTACATAAATATTTCAAAATTTCATTGCTCCATAATTTTGAAAAATATTTGTCTTAACAAGTTACTTTTCATGAAAGACGGAGCTCCTCTCTGCATTGGAGGTGGAGTTCAGCAATTACTAAGGTAATATTTTATGTTGCATGACGATAAAAGAGCATAATGTGTGAAAATATTCCTAGCAGTTTAATTAACTTGGAAGGATAAAATCATGTAGCATGTATGAAATATCAACACATCAATTATAGTCTGCAGTAGAAAGCATCAGAATCATACTGAATGTATGAGAAAAACACCAGCTATTGTCTATTCTGTAGCAGAAAGCATTGCTGGGTTTTGGTCAAATATAATGGCCAATATATTAAACAAAGCCTTTGACTCTCCTAGAAATAATCTAAAACAGCATATATACCTTTTTTACTTACAGTATTCACATATATCCTTAACTATCAAGATTTTTCACCTATCACATATTTTGAAATACTTTCCCATTATGGCTTTGAATAGCCATAATGGGAAAGTACTGTTTTTGTTCTATGGAGATTTAATGAAAATTAGATTAAGTAACTAAAGGTTTAAATATCAATTCATTTAATTCCTTCTTTATATCTTAATAATTATAGTTACATAAGACATTTGAAATAAGCATTAAATTCTAAATATCTTAAATTAAAACACTTATTTCAAATTCTTGACGTTAGGGGGAGAGCAACATAATTATCCTGGTTAGTGATACATTAAATTGTCTTCCAATCAAATATGCCTAGAAGGGCTGTAAGTATAATCTAAGTAATACATTTCTTAAAAATAGATGAATAAGTAAGAGAATATTACCCTTCTACGAGAACGAGCTCGAGCAAGGTGCTGCATTAAAAACCAAATAGTCTGATCCACAAATGCATCTGGGCATTCCCTTTTCCGATCTTCATCTCGCTCTTTCATATTTGAAATGATGTGCTAGTATTTTTTAGAAGAAAAAAAAATTAATTCAATAAATCAACATTTAAGATCTTTGAAATAAGCATATTTTTTAATACATATAAAGAACTTCATCTTAGTAAATTTCGCACAGAAAATATTGTAAGAAAGAGAAAACAATAATCTATTTTCTCCCCACTTTTTAAATATTTAACTTATTAATTCAGAAGCCTAACAACAAAAATCAGCGTTATATTTTCAAAATTTCTGCAGGACTAGTTTTGATGGTTTTACCGAACCACCATCCTCAGCTGCATAACCACAAATGAACAAGATAGGAAATAATGACTAGATAAGATAAGAAAGCCTGGACAGGAATAAGCAGGGCGCATTGTTAATGAAACCAGAACTAAACATAATTCTTTAGAGGCGAAGCAAGACGGATTGGATTAGATCGTACTAAACAGAAAGATTTTTTTAATGTGAAATGCCCTAGAGAATCCATTCTCCAATGGAAGATGTTTTTTGAATAATTTTGGCAGCAGAAAAATTGAAAGTCTGATTTTTGGACCACAATGTTGACAAGAGAGAAACTTCAGTGTTCCTTTTTTCAACTAGCTCATACGCTTAATTATAATGTTCAGAAAGCCCGTCATAGCTATGCGTTTAAAAATTTATTCTTCATCAAGGCTAGTTTTATTAGCAAATTTGAAGATCACGGAAACATAGTGTGCGTGGTACGGTTCGTTATGAAATGAATGCACACAAGTCCGATGAAAAATGAACAAAAATTTATTATTATCACAACAAAAATGCTTAAATTTTCTCAAATTATCATGCAGTATTACACAATATCTCACAGTAGTTATCTTTTAACTACTCAAATGTCCAATTAGAACGTAATTCAAAACAGCTAAAGAACGCTAATCGCGAATTCGCTACAATCAACAACAGAGCAGTTTTCTAAACAACAACAAACTAAGCAACTACTACAAACTGAGAGTTTTCCTCCTTTTATAAGATTTTAAAATCACGCGCTAGAATTTTCCAGTACTTTCTCGAAATCAAAAAGAGATATTTATTTATTTAATGCACGCGCTCTTGTATTTTCAATTTTCCTGCTTAGCTTTCTTTTAATATTCGTCACGCGCTGCACTGCGCGAGAAATAAAACCATTTAATAATTTATAATGAACTAACATTAGCTTTTTAAATACCAAATTTGTAACTAGAATAAAATGAAGCTAACTTGTTTATTCGGATGACATGATTTTAAAGTGTGGTGAAGGTTTCGGTAAACCGAATTACTGAAGTGGATGTGTTACGTGTGACAGAATGTCGAGAAACGGAGAGAAGATCAAGTCTCAAGTTCAAAAGTGAACTGAATAGCAGGATCAATAAATCATTGTTGAAAGAACTTTATTTAAATCATCTTTATTACCTTCAAACAGTAAAGTATCGTCTACGTAGTCGGACATGTCGGAAGTTAAAGTTTTAAACAATTTGATTCATAATGCGTAGATATCAGCCAAGATGGAGTGAGGGGGCTTCCCTGGCTAATCCTGTTAGCTCTTATATTTATTTGGAAAACAAAATGTGTTTGTTTCAACAAGTTATGAGAGAAATAGCTCTAATTTCGATGCAAGAGGAATGAATTCGCGAAGTCTGGTTCTAGACTCTTAATGCACCCTCACTGGAACAATGGTTAATAATGATTTTACATCAAAAAACCATGAATAAATTTCTAGGAGAAATGTTTTAACCTTTTTACAAACTCTCTTGAATTTTTATGGTGTAATGTATGTCTAATAGAGTTGAAAACTAGAATAAATATTTAGCTATGGATACTAGCTTACAAATTGATACAATAGGGCGAAAGGAATACCATTTTTATGAATTTTGGGAAAGCTTGTTCTGGCCAATCGCAAGATGGATAAGTTAAGTTTTAAGTGCTTTGAATAATTTCCAAGATTTGATCACAGTTTTTTTATTTTTGACAAGTCCGAAGGTGAGGATCTTAGGGATCGATTTATGTCCTTCGTTAGAGTTAGCGACCTCATTTAGTTTTTATCCATGATGACTACTGGCACCGTTGTCGCCTTTGAAATATAATATCCTGGTAGATGATTTCACCTGTAGCTCTTTTTTCTCTCGCAGTTGATGGTTCAAAGGTTTATTATTCATTCACATATGACGACAAGATGCCTAATCATTTCTTCTGTATCTGAAACTTACTGACTGAAAGCTTTTCGTACAAGCCAAAATTTTGAATTGAGAGTTTACAGGTTTGTGAGAAGTTAAATTACTTTAGAATCTCTCTGTTCTTTGAAAACTAACATAGAAACATTAATAAGCTGAGTTTCAATGGGAAGATTTTTGAACTACTTGACTGAAGACGTAAAGAAGTTTTTGAATAAAACTGCAAGGTGTTTTTATGACGATAACTGCTCTCGCTAGACAAGACTTTTTTAAGGGCAGCGAATTTTGATATGCATTAGCGAGTTCAGAGAATCTTATCGAGAGTTCATCATGTTTCAATTTTGGACTCATAGGAATATGTTGACGGTATCCTATATGACTGAAGTAAGGCAACTTGCAATTTAACAGAATTCTTGAAACGCGACTGGAAGTTTTGATTAGATTTGATTTGAATAAATTGGGGATAAATTTTTACATTTATATTTAATTAAAAAGTCAAGGATTCAGGAATTTTTGTCGTTTCAGACGTAATTTAGTGAAACGATTACGATAAAGCATATAAAAATGCGAAATCCACTAAATTAACTAAGCAATAATATAAGCACACACAAAACAGCAGAAAAATCCCTCACTGAAATGAATAAAAATCAAAACGTTTGCATACCAAAATGGATGAAATCAGACAAGCAAAGCACAATATCCAAATATACAAAACATAACATAAACAGAACTTCAAAAATACAAATATGTACTTACCGAAACCCTTACAATCACAAAATGGTGGGCACATCACGTGCAAAAAAGGAAGCAAAAAATAAGCCGTTTTCGGCTCCGAAATACATACAAACGCAATACGATGAAAACCACGTGGAAAAAAGAAAGCAAAAAATAAGCCTGTTTGGGGCTTCTATAGTTAAGACACAATAACATGCCAAATAAATACTAATTCAGATGTCAAACAACAAAAATTGTCTGACTTCTGTTGCTCGTTTGATTGTTAGAATAGCTTTTTGTTATTCTATTTTATACTAGTAAAATATCAGATTAAAATACACCTGATTTCAATTATATAATTATTAGGTTATGAAAATTTTATTTTATTTCGAATATTTTAAACATAGTGAAAAAATCTCAGAATTTTAAGCTGAACAACTAAATATATTAGGTTCCTTTATAAAGCATTATTCACACAAGTTTTTCCAAAGATAAAACATAAACCATATCATAACTAATAAAATATTATGGCATCGAAATCCCATACATTTATTTTTAAATTTAAAAAAAATCTCGCTAAGCTATCATATACTCAATAGATAAGTAAAATAATACATATTTCACAAAATATGTTTTATAATGCAGTTCATTAATACCAAGAAAGGAGATAAATAAACATAAGCAGTACAAGCAAAAAACAATTCCTTATTAACAACTACATTTCACATAAATAATCAAAACACAGAAATCCTGTAGTGAGATTTAAGATAATGAAATACATTAAGAACTATCAATAAGTGTTATATATGAATGCATCCTTAAGTATTCTAATTAACAAAGCTTAAGTTTAACACTAGCTATAATGTAATTCTTCAGAAATTTTATTCCCAAAAATAACAAAACACATAATTTTTAACATATCACATATCACTTAAATCTTCCTTTTTAAAATTTACCATATACTGTTTTAATTACATACTACATATTTAAATAAAGATGCTTTAATTCAACAGGAATTTAATGACTAATTGAACTCTTTTCCATTCACTGAATTTAAACCAATTAGGTCCTCTTTCATAGACATTTAATTTGCACCTCATGAAATAAAATCTTAGTGCAAAATATGCTCCGAAGTGAAATGTATACAATAAAAAAAATTTTTAAACTGAATATTTATTTAATATTTTTAATAAAAGATAAATATTAGTATCAGAAATTTAAATTTTCAATGATTTTAAAAATCTTACATTCCTTAAACCTTTCATATCTGGCATTTCTTCACAGGAAGGAACCCATATTTTTATATCATCATCTAAACCACTTGAAGCCAGTACTGGCATATTGGGATTTGGTTCTAAGCAATTCACCTAAAAACATAAAACACAACACATAGTATATAATTCCAATAGGGAAAATGCATCCACATTAACAAAAACAGCAATAATGTGAAAGGAGATTGCATAATAATACCAATGCTATAAAAAAGGAATCCTTGTAACTTGAATAATTTTGATATTAAATATTTTTATACAAAACAAGAGTCAGCAAATCATATCAATCATGCTTTTCTATGCTCCTGGGTTTTGTATATAAATTTTGCAACTTCCCCTTTCCTTCTCTCTCTCTTTTAAGCAGCCTGAAAGTTTCAGATTATAATAGAACATCTAAAGAAATTTACAGCTAATTTCAAAATGTTAAATCACTACATAGTATAAAACAAAGTCGCTTTCTCTGTCCCTATATTCATCCCTATGTATGCTTAAATCTTTAAAACTACGCAACGGATTTTGATGCAGTTTTTTTTTAATATAGAGTGATTGAGAGGAAGGTTTATATGTATAATAACATCATTAAATGTGGAGAAGTACTGTTTATTTTTGAGTTTCTAATGTGATGTCGAATAATTACATTTTTCGTAATTACAAACGCAGCTGAACCTACGAGATTTATCAAAATAAGTACTAAGTATGTACACATTGAAAAGTCTACAGATTTAAAAATTGCCGGACATACTTTGCGGTGGTACTCCAGCCGGGCGGGGAGCGTGCCTATAAATAGCGCATCGAAGGCCGCGGTTCTCCCTATAGCACTTTGAATTAGCAGCGATCAGAGCGTATTTGGAGTCTCTAGCTTTCAGCGCGACAACGTATCAGTAATTATGTAAGTTACGATAAATAATTGTATGATAGTAGTTTTAAAATATAATGATATTCTATTCTAAGGTTAATTTTAAATCGCACTTATAGAATTATAAGTACATAAGGTTAGATAAGATTAGATTAAATAAAACCATAATTTATGGATTGGAATTTTTCTATTAAGATCTTGCTTAAAATTTAGAGTTAAATCAATTTAATATTAGGGAAATTATTTTCAAAAATCGTAATTTAAGGTGAGGTATGTAAGTTCAGAAAAAGGTTATGAACTGCGATTCATTGTTAAAATATCCATTAATATTTTATACCCGTTCAAAGCCGGAGCGGGTCGCTAGTAAATAGATAAAAATAAAAAAATTATTGGGTTTACTGCCATCTGATTTTCAGCATGCAGATTTCAGTTTCATACCTCAAACAATTTTAGGGTAAACGGTCACATCCACTAGTTTAAAGAATTACATCCCACAGAAATTAATGAACATAAAAAACTTATATTTAAATTGAGCTGTTCAACTCAAATGCTCCAAAAATGTTCAAAATGGCAAAAACGAGTGGTAGAAATAAAATTTGCTATGATTTTATATTTATTTTATGGATTTATTATCTATCAAACAAAGAGTAACTATAAGATATGCTTAGAGTCAGTGATTAAAATACCAATTTAATCATAAGTCTGTTTACTCAATTCATTAAATTTAGTGACTGCTTTTCAACATATGTGTCATGAATTGGACTCTAAAGCAAATTAATTTTAACATGTCCCACAGCACAGAACAAATCTGACAACCTACAGAAATCGTGGAATTTGCTGGCTTAACCAGTTCAAGACCAGCGTCACATATGTGCAATGCAATGATTCCACTCTTACCAGCCCAATGTCGCATATACAATGAGCTCCAATCCATCTCTTTAGTCCTGCATCATGTACATGTAGCTTAAAAAATAGAATTTTTTTTTTTTTTTTGAATTTTTAAATACCAGTAGATGGTGTTAAACGATAACTTTTTCACATCATTTACATCAGTTAAGTCATGTGGTTTTTGACCTTCATGTATGAGCATCAGTTTCTGTTCTGTGCTTCTGGTTTGGATATATTTATTGGTGTACACAAACTGGCAATCATAGCTCTTTAAATTAAAGAGACACTGACGTGTTGGTTTATTTCATTAGAATTTTTTTTTTTTTTTTTGTTGTTGTTGTTTTCGTTTTTATTCTTTGGGTTTTTCGTTATTAGAATTTAGGGAAATGAATCCAGCTCAATGTTTTTTTCTTTTTCTTTTTTTTTTTTTTTTTTTCTTTCTTTCTTTTTTTTTTAGGATAATCTGGGAAAACACATCTAGTGCTGACTATAGCAGGTGTAATGTTGCCTGACTCCAGTGATGGAAAAACTCAGACCAGTTGTCCTTTTTTTACATTTATTTTAAACCTTAACATAGACTTTCTTGGTTAATTAAAAAGTAACTTTAATAGTATTATTCCAGAAGTAGAAAGATACCAGCTTTTTCAATGTGTGATGCATCTTACTTGCTCGGTGAAAAAAGTAATCATTGTCTTGTATGTCGAGTCTCATTTTAGAAGCAGAATTATTAAATTGGAATTTAATTACATACAGATAATAATTGCTAAATTTTCTTTTACATTTTGTATTTGTAATTTTGTTTTCATTATAGTATTTCGTTTCATGCTAATAGTTACAATTTTAGTATTTTGCATCTTTAATTTATCAAGGTCCTCAAGAGGTTGATGATATAAGGAAAACATTTTCTTTCCAAATGACCTCAACTATAAAATTTCTACAGTAATTTTGAATCGTTCAAGTCTGAAGTTTCTTAAACAAACATAAATAAATACTGAAAACATTCTCTTAAAGGATATAAAAAGTACATTTCCTGATATTAATAATTCTGCATACAGCAAATATCTCATTAGAACAACAACTGTCCAGAAAACTACTGCCAACGTAAGCCAAAATGACATATTAGCATTGCTTATAATGACCACGCTTTTCCAAAGCCGATGCACGGTAAAACAATCCAATCAGTGGGGTTGGAGGATGCTTGAAATAAAATCTTATTATTTCATACAATTACATGCTTAGTTATATTTTTCTAACTGCTCACATTAAACTAAAGTCATCCAGACAGATACACAGTTCGAAACTCAGAAGATCAAAATCGAAAATCAATTCTGAGATAAAATTAATTCTGAGAAGGTGGTTTTCTTAGTGAATATGATTATTGCAACATTCAATACCAATGTTTATTTATGTTCTCAGAGATGCTTGAAATAATGAAACCAGTAGTTCCCTGTTCATTTAAAGGAGGTCATTATGATTGGGTCCACAGATTTTATTATCAAATCACATACTTTTGCTGTATTGTTTCCCAATAAGCAGATTTATTATGCTACACATTTGAAATATATATGATTGTTCTGATTATGGGAAAAATCTTGCTCTTTTTTGCTCAATGTCAGTTTTACATTTTATTTGAATATTACAGGTATTTCATATAATTTTAAACATAATTTTACACTGAATAACCTACTATCAGATAATTATCCTTCATCAAAATATTTTCTTTTGGAAATTACGTTTTTGTACATTTTATGGCTCTTTTAAAAGGTGATCAATTTAAAATTCTTTAGACAGTTTAATTTCAGTGTTAATTTTTCAAATATGAAATGTGGCTGAAAAAGAAATCCAGAAATTCTTCCAGAGATCAGTTTTTCTGAAACTGTTAAATTTTCTAAAATATAAAGAATGATTATTTAATTAATGATTACATATCTGATTCCACAAAAGTATTTTCATGATTGCACAAGGCAGCACTAAAAATTTACACCAGTATAAAATCTGGGAATATTCACAGAATGTAAGATAGTTCAATCGACATACTTTGAAGCATGAAACTGCACTGAAATGGGGGAACTACCTCACACATGATGTCTGGTCCCTTTTGCATAGTTATAACTCTGTTTATTTCTATCATTGTACTGTCTCAAAAATAAGACAGCATGTCTTCGATTATTAACTAAGCTAATGGTCAGACATTTGCTATTAAAGTATTCATTGGTAAAGGTGAAGTCCATCAGCCATTTAGCCATCTCATTACCAGAAACATTGTCCGAAATGTACTTTATAAGATGATCAATTCTATAGCTGGAAGAAGAGAGGCTATACAACTATATATATTTATACCTCCTGCTGAAATTCAAACCCATCATCACTGTGGCAGCCAACTCTCCTACCCTTGTTGAACAGGATGGCTCTTAAAAATATGTTTGGTCTAAAGTATTTTGACAAAGAGAGAAACCCATCTAACCTAACACAGTAAAACAGATACTTGCTTAGGTCAATATAAATTCATTTCCCTCTCAACAAGATCTTTATCCTGCACTTTTTTAAGAAGATAAAATGGCTAATAGTATTAATTTAGAAAATGAATGCAGAAGCAAAATCCAGACTATACAATGTTTAAATCCTCTAAGGAAGAAAGTTCAGAACAAACTTTATACATTCTGATTCACACAGACACACACAGACAAAAAAAAAAAAAAAAAAAAAAAAAAAAAAAAAAAACTTTGCACATTGTACTTTTAATTTTTAAAAATTTCAGATGGCAAAGAAATAGTTTTGAAGCATTTTATATAATATTGGAGATAGTTTATCTTCGAAAAAAATACAAATTACTATTCAAGAGTTTTTTAAATGTATTTAAAAATTGTCTTTATTATTAACAGGTTGAAATGTATTTATTGCAGTAAATATTAATTTAATATGTGTATTAAAATGGATTTTGCATTTAAGTGGGAAACAATTACAAAATTACATTTTCATTCTTTTGAAATTTTAACAGATAACTTTTATTTAATGAAAAAAAATCTTTTTATTTTCCATAATTAAATACAAATGTCTTGCTCCTTTATATAAACGTGCAAGATACTTTTAAACTACTTCAAAAAAGCTCATTTAGACAAATATTTTAATAACGAGACCAACTATAAAACTACTTTCTTCTTTGGACCATCCAAAAAGTTTTGCAGGTTTTCGATGATAAACAATAGCAATATAAAAAAAATTAATTTCATTGAATCACATAAGCACCCTTTTGGTACATGACTTTTAGCCATAATTCTGGGAACTGAAAAATTCCTTTTTTAAAAAAATCATTAGGTTTATTCATAAAAAAAGGTTCAGAACTACTGCTTGACAGTCTCCAAATAAGTGCATTCCAGGCTGCTAAGAGAATTCTGAAGTGATCTGAGAAGATGAAAATCCAAGAAGGCAAGATTTGGTGAATATGGGAAGGGATGCAAAACATCCCACCCACACTCAAATAGTCTTTGTCTGAGATTCATCAAAATGTGCAGCAAAGCACTGTTGTCATGATGTATGGCAACAATTCTGGGTGCTTCATTTCAATTTCTGCTTTTAAAGCTGCAATTTGGGTTTTTTGAATTCTTTACCCAATTTCAAGGCAACAATTTATATTTCATAATTCCTTTGTAATCCCACTCTTTCCTGGATGCAGCCACCCTCTCGATGCTACTAAACAAGATTCTTTTGGCTTACCCCATGAATCACATGCTGAAACTTAAAACAATTCTGCTCTGTTAAAGTATGGGTTACTCATACATCACGAAAACCTACATGTCCAAGCTTCTTAAAATTATCATATACTGTATTTTTTGGAATACTCAGTTTCTCTGATACTTCCTGAAATGTACAATATGGAATTTCAGAGACTGCTTCTTTTAACAGATTTCTGTTTACAGAGGATGTTTGTCCAAAGCAGGAATCATTCTTGAGACTTAAACTTCCATACTTAAATGTCTCAAACCATCTTCAAACTACCTCATCATAATGTCCATATAGAACACAAAATTTATTGGCAATCTAATTAGCCTTTTTTTCCTTCTTAAAACAAAGCATAGTTTGGATAAAATGAACTTTTGAGTTCCCCATTCTTAGCACTGCACCGAAAAAAAAAAAAAAAACTTACACATTAGAATTATGCAACATGAGCAGAGACTACAGTTAAACATCTGTTTTCATCCAGCTTCTATCCCTTACCAGCAGCAACAAGATAAACAAACAAAAATATGTTGTGATCTGGGGGGGGGAATTCTCAGATGACCCAATACAAATAAATGTAAAAGAATCCTGAATATTTCTCTTTTTTGTAGAAAGCAGTGGAAGTTATTTCTGCAATCAATTTAAGAATATTTTTATACTAATAAAAGTATTAACTCAGGGTGTCTTTAGCCTAAATCAGATTTACCAATGACGTTCTCCACATCCTAATTCTTTGATAATAGTCAAATAATGAAGTAAAATTATGCAAAATTTTACAACGCTTCTATTACAACATCAAGATATGATATTATGATAGAAAACAAATGGAAATTAAATAATGTTAACAAATAAAAAGATTAATATACATGAAGTAAAGGAAGACAGAACTCAAAATAATACTTTGTACAGTAATAATGTTTGATTAATTATCCATGCTTAATCAGATAACTGCACACTAAATTTTTAAGTAGATTAAACTTATCAGAAATTCTTACCACTCCTCCTTCATCACCATACATATATCTTACAATATGTTCAGATTCTTTCTCCCAAAAGAAGATGAATCCACAGTCACTACCACTCACTATAAATTCACTCTTAGCACCAAAGTAACTAACTCCCTTTACTGAAATAAGAGATTGAATTATCACCATTAAAATGAATGAAATTTTAAAACATTATAAATTCCATTTTATGAATTAATTCTGATGACTTGAGCCTAAAACTTACCACAACTTACCAGTTCTCAAAAGCTTTTTTGCTGTATTCAGTTGTGGTATTTAAAGTATATTAAAGAGATGTAAAAGTAAATACTGTCCTTCTCCAAATAATTTCTTATATTTATGAAGAATAAATCAAAATTCTTAATAGACTGCACTTTAATGCTAAATCCTTCTGAATTAGCAAAGAAAATTAAAATACATTCCCTAAAATATAAATATAACCCACTATTTTAACTTAAACAATGCAGTTTATTAATATGACTTAAAAATGTATTTAGACACACTTCTAAGATACATTAGCAAAAAACGTACTTCCTTTCTCTTCCCTTAAATTCCATAAATGCTTTAAAAATTCTTTTAATCTCTTTTAATCAAAGACAAATCCTATAATTACTTCTTAAGCTATGAAAAGTATTAACTTTAAGAGAAGAACTTTATAACTAATTAACCCTCTGAGCATCACAGGTTTTTGGAGCTGTCACAAAGACCTGTATTTATGCAGAATTTATCAGCTAAATTTATTTCAGTAACAAAAAATCTCAAGATCAGATAAAGCTGGTCACATCGCTTAGAGGGTTAATAGTGTAATGATAAAAAATTAATGAGCTATGGTTAAAAGCATAGCCTATACATAGCAAGGCCTTTCTCATCTGCTCAGAATTTGAATCCTTGGGACTTCAGCAATTTGGGAATTTTCTGAATCTTAGATCATTAGTTTAAATCTAGTAAAATGTCATATAAAAATTATTAAAAATCTGAAATAGCTGTTTACGAAATAATGAAGCATTTATGACCTTAAGGAAATCTAAATCCCCCCCCCAAATCTCAATATTTATTTATTTATTAAAAATTTCATTTAATGAACATTCGTTTGTTTTAATTTTTGTGCTAATACTTTCTTTTTAATTTTATATACAGACATAATTTCTTGGTCAGTTACAAAGTTCAAGTCCTGTACTTACTGTGTCGAGAATTCGAATAAACTGGCAATTGATTTTTTTTTTTTTGTTCTTCTCAACAACCTCTCTGTCACTTTCTTTAACACTAGAACTGCGGAGCGAGTCAATTTGACCCAAACAGATGTTTAATTTGTCACCACGCGAAAAGTATTGATTGGAAAAGAAATTCCTTTATGACTTTTAATAATTTAAGATAAACAACTTATCAAATTTGAAAATGTGTAACATAAATAAATTTCTGATTTTAAACACTTATAACTATAACTGAGAAGCGGGTCAGTTTGACCCTTAAGAAATGTTTATGCCTAAATGACGAAAAACAGATGCATTTTCTCGGAAGTAACTGTAAAGTATATCTACCTCACATTAAAATTCCTCAAATGGACTGCACTAGGATAGGGAATAGTGTAGGTTTTCAGTCAAGGTCATGTTTGTTTCTTATGCGGTGGAAAATTACAACTAATATTTTGAAAGACTTTTTGAAGTTGCTTTTATTCTATATTTAGTATAAGGATAGATAAAATGTCACAATGTCGTTCAGGACTGTTCAACACTGTTCAGATAGCTTTAGAATATTTACAACAATTATCTGAAAATGATTCAGAAGATGATGATAATGATGACAATCTTTCGATTTTGAGTAGCAAGGATGAATACCTGCCTGCTAATGAAAAAAATTTGAATTCAGATGAAGAAAATGAAAGTGATGATGACTCTGGCAGTGCCGTAACAATCACTATACCTTATCATCGCAATAATGATAATTTACCAGATAAAAAAGAAAAATAAAAAATTCTAAGAAAAGACGCATGCACTCAAGAAAATCTGAAAAAGAAATCAGCAATAATACTCAAAGTTGGAAATAATGAAGTTGGCAAAGTTGGGACAGTTTGGAATGTCCTACAATTACGGAAAAATTACAAAAAAGAAAATTAAAGCAAAATGTTTTAAAGGAAGTCGGGAGCTCAACACCACATGCTAAATGCAATGTTATAGACAACAGTCCATCAAGTGCCTGGAGACTTTTCATAGATGAATGGTTATTGAAGCATATAAAGAAATGCACTGAAGATGAAGCTTATCGACAGATTCATGAAAATGAATGGAATATAAAAGTAGATCAAATGGATGTTTTTATAGCAATTTTATATGCACGTGGTATACATTGTGCAAAAGGACTTGAAATGCATAGCTTGTGGTTAATGAACTGAGGACCATTGTTTTTCCAAAATACAGTCAAGAGACAAATTTCACGAAATAATGAGATTTTTACTCTTCAATATAAAATCAACGAGATCAAATTGTCTACATTAACTATACACCAGGTCCTGACGGAACTGTAGATGAACAGTGATTTCCTACAAAAGTTAGGTATAGGTTTGCTTAATACATGCCAAAGAAGCCAGATAAATTTGGAATAAAGTTCTGGTTAGCTGCAGATGTCAACTCAAAATATATAATAAATGGATTCCATGTCTTGGAAAAGATAACCAAAATTCATCCAGCATTTCTGCTTCTGAACATGTGGTACTGCAACTATTAAGTCTATGTGAAAACAAAGGTAAAAATGTCACTACAGATAACTTTTTCACAACACTGCAGCTTGCAAGGGCACTGAAATCCAAAGATGTACTTGTAGGAACTCAAGAAGAGAAATATTAGTCTGTAAAAATATCAAAATCCGCATTTTATGCATCTTCGGTACTAACACATAAAGACATCAGTCTGTTTATCAAGGGGAATAGGATGAAAACATTTTGTTGCTAGGTAATCTTCATCCAACCAAGCCCATCTTATACTCAAGGCCTGCCAGTGTGAAAATATTCTTTTGTGTTTTAGGTGGCCTCCGTGAAAATTCTACTGACCGCAAGATGGCGCTACTATTCCACTACGCTTTGCGACGTTAACAATGAGCAGAATGGTAACCGAGACAAATAATTGTCTTGTTATATGCAAAATTTAAAAACAATTCATCTGTAGTAGTCAGAAATTATACATTTCTTTTTATTAAAAATATTTTTATTTAGAAAGAAAGCATGCAATTTCCAGTTATCCCATTTTTCTTTTTTCATATACTGTCGGATACTTGATTCTGATTTTAATTCCTGCTTGCATCTAGATATACGCTATTTTTAATTGTACTTATTACAGTTACCTATTCTAATTTAAGGGTAATTTAGAGCACATTTTTTAGTTATTAGTTAAGTTTAGAGCAAATTATTTATAGAGTATGAAGTTAGCAGGTAGCTTCAGAACATAAACTATTTCAGCACAAATTTTTCATGGTATTAATATTAGCTGTGCTGTGCAACAAAATAATATGGAGCCACTATTAAATATGTAATTAAGAAATGAAAGTAAATTTGTTAATACATAAGAGAAAAAGTATTTCTAAAAGAAATTTGGTTTTAGGTATTGAAAATTTTGTCTCTTTTTTAATTAATATAAAGTACTTTTTAGGAAATATTAAGAAATAAAATTTTAAATAAAACAGATTCAGAGCTCTGAAGAGTAAACGCAACACTACAGATATTCGAAATAATACCAAGCATTTCAATATCACCGTCAGTATATAAAAATGACATACATGACATTAATCACATGATCTTATATAAAAATTTAGCCTGTTAGTGATGAATAAAAGTATTTCAGTATCACCCTACAGCATATATAATAACATGTAGGACATTATCACAATGAATCATATACTCCCTCTGTCCCAAATTATTGCTACATTTGCGTATGATTATGATACAGAAGATTTTATGATTTGTTTGCACATTTTCCAGAAATTTCAAGGTGCTATGTTATCAATCAACAACAACTTTTACTTACCAAGCATTCCCTCCTTAAATCAGTACCAAATTAGTTTCAAAAATACAGCTTTGGCACACCCTTAAATTCCGCCTGATTTTGAAAGGACTCTTCCATCGGTAATTGCTTAAAATCTTCAGGCTAATTAACTGTAAATTCAATTATCTGTCTTGTCTATACGAGCCAGTTCGCCTTAGAATTTCTTCCACGATGGCATCCCTCACCTCAGGCAGACAGCTCTCAAGGCTTTCCCTTAATCACATAAACACAATCTTTCTGAAATATGGGCAGTATAGTCCTTATAAAATGTGGCGTGGCTTAAGAGCAAGCGAATCTTCTAAATTTGCATGGATAAAATTGTCCCAAAATAAGTGTTACATTCTCAGTAAAAATTGAGAATGAAAACCTAGTATGCAAGCGTTACATTCCTTGTAGTACACCTTATAGTTTTACTAATGTCCATCTACTAAACTGCATCAAAATTTTTTTATGACTTCGACTACTTGAAATGTAGCACCTAATTTGAGACAAAACTTTCGATCGAAGTGTAGCAACTAGTTTGGGACGAAGGGAAAAAACAATTTTGAGACTGCTAATTTCAATATCATTGACAGCATATTTTTAAAAATAAAACCATTCCCTAAAACAAAAAATATTACCTCTATTATTACATATATATATATATGGATTCGACATGAATCGCTCTTACTTAAAGTGCATCCACAAAACATTCAACCAGGTAAACACAAATTCATGAGCAGGATATTGATACATCACACTAATTAAAATGGGATATGCGCTTTAAAATTTTGAAGGTAGTATATATAGCATTCAAATGTTTCTGGATCAAAGATAACAATAAGGTATATCGTGGATGCATTCTTAAATTTTAATTGCATTAAATTAATAGATATATATATATATATGTATTACCTTTCATATATATATATATATAAAGGTTAAAATATCATTTATGCAGAAAACAGAGATTATCTCCAGAATGATAAAAAAAAATTTGATATTTTTATTTGAGGAAGACGAACACATAACATAAAGCTGAAAACACATATTAAGAAGCTTGTTTACATAAAAAAGCTGAGCGAAAGAAACATATCAAAAGAATTTTAAAGCTTTCAAATTTCACTTGACGATGGTCTTTGTTTAAGAAATTGTGTATTATGTATTTGTATTAAATCTGTGTTACATGAAACTGATGGAAATGCTATCCGTCCTACACTTATATGTTGCGAATAATTATTTAAATATAACCGTAAACATTTTTTTTTAAAGGAAGAAAACTTTGCAGTATAGCACGTAACAATATACCATCCTACATTACTATTAGTTACAGCGGCACGTTTTATTAAAGTACCTTTTTGTCAATAAGGAGCCACATTACAAATAGAGAACGTATAGCAAAAGTGTAGAAGAATGCGAGCGTCACCTACTGATGAATTTTGCGAAAGCCACTGAAAACTGGGAACCAGAATTTCGTTCAGTCTGGCAAGCTTTGAGTATAAGTTGGCCTTGATCCAACTGTCGAAATTATAGACAGACCCTCAAAATTACTTGATACAACTGCTTACTACAACACAGCTAAATTCGGAGTGGGTGGTGGCAAGTAAGAATACTGTCAATTCTGCTTCACGTAGGTGGCTAGTGCAGGTTTTGGACCTTACTGCTATCAATGCCTGGGTTTTATACAAAACCGTAGCTGAAAAATCTATTAGTAGACAGCAATTCATTTAAGATTTAGTTGAAGAACTGAGAGAAAAGTTCGTTCTCTCCCGGCAAAAAAAGGTGACATATGGCTATATAGCAACCACTGACAATGGCGGACAACCACAAGCTAAGCATAAACAAGTACAGTGCCAAATTCCAAAACCCAAGATATTTGTTCAAAATGGGCAAAGCACCAATTTGTGGTAAATGTACAAAACGTATTACTAAATTTTTGTACACAATGCATACAATATATAAGATTTTTGAAAATCTGTAAAATTAGTAAGTAAATGGTAAAAGTTTTATTTTTCTCTAAAATTATGTCTAAACTTATGTAATGATATACAGTCAAGAGTCATTAATCCGGACTCGTCAGGACTTCGGTGATTCCGGATTATAGATCATCAGTTTAAATCTGGTAAGATGGCATGCAGAAATTATAAAATTTAAAAAATGAAACCGTAATTATGAAAAGAACAATTATGATCTAAAGGGTATCAAAATTACAAAAAAAAAAAGCTTAATATTTATTTGTTTACTTTATTAACATTCTCTCAATGTAATTGTTTAACTTGCTTCGTTTTATGCGATAATACTTTCTCTTTAATTCTATAAACAGACAATAATTTCTTGTTCATACAAAGTTCCGCTGTTCAATTCCTATAATTGCTGTGTCGAGAATACCGACTAATTTGTCAATCGAAATTTTTTTCGTTTCAATAACCTCTGTGTGTCACTTTCTTCACTATCGGAAGCGAATTATAATGATGAGGAATTTGATTTAAATCATATCAAAGACGGAGTACATCGAGATGAAATACTACATTTAATAAGAAATTGTAAGCCAAATAAAATAAAAACATCTGCCCTGAAGATAAGGATAGTGCTGACAGATCAATTTCCAATTCATTGCGCACTGCGGCGTTTCCCCCCCCCGCCTTGGCCGCCGCAGAGCAGCGCTAAATTGATAAACAGATTTCGGAATGGCTAGAGAAACAAAAGATATGCCTTTACCCCTTTTTTGCAGCAGTTCCACTTTTCGTTTAATGGACTTCGAAACATACTTCCACTTTTAGATCCTTTACATATTAGAAAATATATATCGGAAATCCTATTTGACGTAATCGAAAGTTTAAGCTTACTTTTATAAAATTGCTGTAACAGTCTGCAAAAAATAATAACCTGATCCAATTCGAAGATTAAGGAACACACTGCAACATTACTGAATTAGATAATTTTAGCTTAGCTTTATACCGTCCGTTATACATTAACGTGCATGCGTAAACGTATTATGCACACACCCGCAGCGTTTCTTATGCGTAAATGCCTATGCGCATGATCAACACGACGCATGCGCAGAAAGTTTGTAGCTTTGAGGTCCGGATTATAGATCATTCTGGGCGTAAATGCCTATGCGCATGCGTCAACACGACGCATGCGCAGAAAGTTTGTAGCTTTGAGGTCCGAATTATAGATCATTCTGGATTATGGGTGTCCGAATTAATGACTTTTGACTGTATTCTGTTTTTCTACCAAAATTAGAAAATTTATGTTTTATTTTGTTTAAAAGACATGTTATTGAAATAAAATTTTAAATAATACAATTTTCTAAAATTTTAGATAATTTTCATTGATTTATATGAAATATTTAACGTAAATTGAGAAATATTAATTGTTACATAATAAAATGGTTTAGTTAACTAAAGTAATCACTTGTGCATATTTCTAGATGCTTTCTATCTAGGGTCAAATTGACTCGCCCTGCAGTTATAGGTATATCGTAAGTCTCGTGCTTCTAGTGTTAATATTGGTAGTAAAATTTTAAGGATTTGTAACCATACTACAGATTTTGCTGTCTGCTAGTAGATAGAATATTGGAGTGTTGCCATCTCAATACACTATTTCTGCTATATTATCTTCATTTAAAACCACTTCTCTACGTATTCCATTAATTAAAAACATTCACTTTTTGTTTGCAATATTCAAACACCTTCGAATTTGCAGCTATCATCATAAAGCTTAGTCCACTATACACTACTGGTGATGTATCACGAGACTGGCTACTGAAGATATGTTGTTTGCCTAAAACTTACCTTCCTCCTAGAGTAAAATAAACCCAAATTATGTTAATTTTGTTATTTATTGTACATACAATTATTTTACACATTAGTTTAAGGCTTGTCCAAGTCCTGATAAAATATATTCACACATATACTTAAGGTATATTATGCACCTGCCATACATTTTTAATCATAAACAATTTCTAATAAGAATAGTTTGTAGATGACAAACAGAAGCCCATCTTATGGCAGGTGATGGCCAATAGCCAACAAGGCTTCTCAAAACAACAAATGAATTACTCTTTGGTTTGAAATGTATAGCAAGCAAATAGTGTGATTATGGAGCCAAATGTTTGATCATACAGATTTATAATGACAGAAGATTATGTTTCTTCAACATGGAGGTGCTCTAATTAGTGCCAAAGTGAATTTAAAAAGCAGAACCCTCCACATACTTTATTATGAAAAAATGTCTACCATGAAAGCATGAAACATTGAGCACATGCTACTTTCAGAATATGTTGCATGGATAAAACTAGCACTGTACTGATGTAAAAAAAATTAAACATTGTTTGAATCTTCTCATAAAATTCTACTAATGTTTATGTAAATTAAGACAATTCTGATAAATTAAATGTAATAAGGAAAAAATATATTGAAAATCACTAAAGGATGTGGGGGAAAAAATAGCATGATTAAGTTCAACAAATTTCATTTATTAGTGGGAGATTCACAGATCTATTGGGAGACCAACAAATTCGACAAAAAACCTGAATTCTTCAATTAAAACCAGAACAGTTGGTAGCTATGTATACTTGTATATCCACATATGTACTTAAACTCTCATACAAAATAAAATTCCTTGCATTTCCAAAATATATTAAAAACATTACTTACTAGTTTGACTATTTCTATGTCCTCTATACCGATGCAAATATTTATTAGGATCTGTTTCTTTTGAATCAAATGTATATATATCTTCATCATTGTATGATGCCAGAATTTCTGAAAAAATAAATTAAAAATTCATAAAATTGTTAAGAGGTATGAACTTTTTTTAGAAAAAAATTTGATTACTAACCTTGCCCATTGTAGTTGTAAACTACACAAGTCACATTAGGTCTTATTTCATTGTCTACCTACGGAGGCAAAAATGTCAATAGATAATTTAACTAAAACAAAGAGCTACTTATTAAGTAATATCATGAAATATTAGTCTTATGCTTTTCTCTTAAGAAAATTATGGATATCCAGATTATATTAAAAGTTACACAAATTAAAAAATAAACATTGGTATCTTAATTTAAAATAACTTAATACTAGACTAAAATGATATCCCAACACTTGAAGTAAATTTTTCTGAAATGATTGAGCATATCACAAACAAGCAATGTGCTTGTTTAACATTTTCCATTCTGTTTTCAAAGTGGATTCAGACATCATATAATCATTTAGTGGACAGTGCTTAAACATAGATCAAGGAAAAATGTAGGGTCCAAGTTTTGTCATCTGTGATTATTATTACTTGGTGTCCAATTCATTGTTCATATCAATCAAAATATTCTTGGTAGATGTTTAAGTGAATTCCTTCATTTAAGCAAAAGGTTCGAGTTGTTTTGAGGCCCATCTTGTGCAGAATATATGAAACTCAGTAACTTGTCTTTCCATCAGAATCATATCATACATGTATAGTCAAGTTTCAATCCATCTTCAATATGTAACATTTGTGTACCCATTTTTTAAAATTTTCTATCTTTTTGCAGCTACAGCAAATATCACAAATATTATTTCTGTACTGTGGTGCTATTCTTTGACAGACCACAACATCTGTTATACCTATGAAATATAAAAACCTGATAAGTGAATGCAATTCTTTTTCAACGGAAACATTAAAAGCAGTATCACGAATGGCAAGGTACTGATGAAGAACACCAATTATGATTATGTGCATTAAATAAATAAACTTACCAACATCCATAATTAAGTTTGATATCCGTAAACTTACTAATACAAAGTCCGAAATCTGGATGTTTATTATCCGGAATGTTCTAAAATCTGGACCTCAAAACCACCAACAACGTTTTTCTCCTAGGCTTTATGCATGCGCATTTGATTGCCCCCCTCCGCGCATAATCAAACATCTGGAGACTCCCAATTCTTAATTTCACTTCGACACTTAATTGTCGCGTTTGCTTACTAGAACTTTACTTCCACGAACGCCCTCTGGGCGAAAGAGACTAAAAGTAGTTAGTTGAACGGCTGACGCGTCTAACAGATGTAACACTTAATAAAATACCTTGTTTTTGAAGACACATTTTAGCATAAATTTGTACGATCAGTAATTTGGCTCCGTTGCTGAGTTTCTGCACACATCTCAAAACGAAACATAGATACATCATTGATCTGACGCCATTTTCATTTCCCCACATGTTTACCAAAACATGACAACTTGAGTAATGACTCATGTAACGATGCCCAAACAATTTTTTTATGTTAGTAATTGAATAATAAAGGAGTATGGTAACCTTTAATGTTGACATTATGCTTGGTGATGGTTACAGATTTAAGTCAAATGTGCTAAAAAATGCTGACAAGGAAAAGTTTACCAAAAATTTCTTTCCATATGCCAAAAATAGATTTTGTTAATAATAGACCCAAAGATTACATTTAGGGCTATTTGAATTAAGAATAACAGATTCACATAAGCGCTAGAGCTCATATGGCTGCGCCGAGTCGCAGAATTTAGGACCCACAAAGACAGCATTAGGCGGTAAGATATCTAGCGCTAGCTCTCAATAAAGCTTGTGGGAATTTATTTATTCAGAACTCAAGCCTTAAGCATGTGCAAGAAATAGACATAAATATAATAAATAACTAAACTAATACAATTTGTCTCAGTACACAATAGAAGCAAGATAAAATTTAATGGAACAACTTGTCATTAGTCACCAAGCTCATGATGCATAGTCAAATATGTATAGTGAAGGATAGCTAAATTCAATTAGCCACTAATTTTAAAGGTTTTTGGATATTGCAAAACAAAGGTGAAATTTTCCAATTAACAAATTTTCTAAAGAAATGTGGAGAAGCGGTAATAAATGAAGATGATATAAAAGAAGTTTTTCGTTGTGATGACAATGCTTCTCAATCATCAATCGATTAATGAATGGCGAAATCTGTAGTATGGTTATAGATTCAGAAAATACATAGTGCATACCGACAGTGCAGAAAGTGACAGAGAAGTTACTGAAAACGAGAAAATTTCGATTGACAAGTTAGTCGGAATTCTCAAAACTGCAGTTACAGGACTTCAACAATGTAACTAAACAAGATATTATGTCAGTCTACAGAATTAACGAGAAAGTATTAGCACAAAAAATGGAGCAACTTAAACAACTTACATTAAACGAAATGTTTAATAAGGTAAAGAAATAAATATTAAGCTTTTTTTGTAAATTTTGATACTTTTTAGATCATAAATACTTCATTATTTCATAAATCACGATTTCATATGTTAAATTTTATAATTTCTACATGCCATTTTACTAGATTTAAATTGATGATCTAATATCTGGAAAAATCCCAAATGCGGAATCGCTCAAAAACCAACGAGTCCAGATTTCAGACTTTGTACTGTATACCATTTAAAGAAAAAATAAATATTGTTACGAAATGTAGAGCTACGGTGAGATAGCATCTTTGCAAAGCAGGTTTAAGGTTGCCATAAAATGGCAAAGGAAGGCAGAATTGGCACATTTGACGAAAAATTGTCCATTTGGCGATATGCCATGGACGGATGGAAAACCTTCTGGAACAAATTCTTACTGGTTTAGCCCAGAATGTTCTGGAACACAAGCCGAAAGCTATATAAGGCCTGCTGGTTCGCAGTCAGTCCTTGTGTGTGTGCCTCGTCTAGCGAGCTAATAGTCAGCATCGGGTTAGTGTCTCGAGTTAGTCAGTCCGTACGGAGTTGATTGAGTTGACAGCCGAGCAACGCGTGCTGAGTGCATCAAAAGAGTCTCTTAGTGTATCGCGGTTGGTGCATCGTCGAAAGAGTGTGTTGAGCTTCGGGAACAACTGAACCGAAGAGTCAGAAGCTGTGCTCTGTGTGTCGTCGAGTGCATTGCGAGTTATAGCGTGGAGAGTTCCGAGAACGACCCAAGCAGAGTCAGGAGCTGTACTCAGGTGCTTTGCAGTGAAGCTGTCTCCACCATTATAGCCTGATAACCTGAAGGCTATATCACTGATTGTTCCAGCAAGTGTATAGTAGATCTTCAACGACTGTAAAACGTAACTTTGGAGCTGTCCTGATTAATATTGGCTAAATAAAGTGTGTTTCAATACTTCAATGAATGCTGTTGATATCCACACAAACCCATACGTAATGAACGTAGAGGAACAAAATAACATAACAATATTAATATTTAGCTATTAAAATTTAGTTAAATCTTCATTAAGTACTTTATAAAATCCTATAACAGATTTAAACAAATCAGATCAAATAAAAATTAATAAAACAATATGCTAAACATCATTCAAGAAAAAAATGGAATTCACATGATTTTAAGTTTTATTAAAAGATGACATTAACATTTTTTAAGAACTTCTAATTAAAATTTTCTTCACAGTGTTTCTTTTACTTTCAACATTCAGTGATCCATACTCTTTCTGAAACTGTACTTGAAATACATGAATTCAAATAATTCAAATAATATAATAACCACAAGATTTTGGAAATTTTTCAGGAGAAAGCGATTCAAGACGGAAATTTGTACCATTCCCAACATATCCTGTTTCAACTTAGTTGAATGTTTTTATCATCCATTTTATTCTTACTACCTTAATTATGAAGTTATCAATTTTTAACTGCATATCATTTAAGAATGCCACTAACATTAAAAATTCAAAATAATGTTCAGAATTTTATGCCTATGTTAAATACTTCAACATTTCACCAATATTAAAAAATAGCAAAAAATATTTTGTATATATATGGTATTTGTTTTTCATTCATGGTTTTAAATTGATTTGTGTTCCTTGGAGGAGATATATGAAAAATTTTCTTATTATAAATTATTATGAATTATTAGTTTATTACTTTGCAGCTTTAGCACAAGTCATACACTTTTTAATTTACTTTTGATTACTTTATTTTGAATTTATATTCTTACTAATAGCAGCTTTTAGTGCTCTTTTAATAACAGCCTACTCTCTATGTATTATCTCCAAGATGAATTCCAATTTTCTAGCCAATTTAGGCTAAACTTTCTTAAACAGAAAAATGCACTTTACAACAAACCTTTTACTTCCATCACTTAATACTTGAATTTCCAGCCATGTGGTCTTAAAATTTTGAAGGCAAGTTTGTTAATTTTTAACTTACTAGTTTGATCTTTAAAATTTCTAATTAACTTCATGTTTTAAACTTTTAATTTTGAGGTTGTGTCATTTTTGATTCTGAATTAACTTTTAATATGTTTACTTTTGTTTTTGAAATTGAAATGAGAGTGTAGGGGATATGTCTTCTAAAGTAAGCATCTCATTTAGATTAATAATGTTTTTAACAGAAACTTTAATTTAAAGATTATTAGCTATTTTGTTTAACAAGATTCTTGGCTTAAATGTGTAAACGCAATGTATTAATTTTATTTAAAATGTATTTTCTCGATTGGTAACAACAGTTTTTTTCAGAACCATAATAATTTGAACGATAATGTTTTTTGAGCAGTTATGCTGACGGTAATGTTTCTGAATAAAGCAAGTATTTAACAATTAATGTTTGACGGAATGTGTTTTTAATAAACTAATTAAATGCTAACATTTCAGAAGTGGGATAAACTCGAATTATTATCTAGATTTAACAACGTATTGCCTTAACGTACGCTAAGCCTAAACTGAATGCGGAAGCTCGCCAAAACTGAAAGTAGAAAGGTACGTGAATTTATAAACTGTTTATGTTATGTCTAAGTATTAAATGGAAAGAACTTAAGTATAATTATTTTATTAGTATTTGAAAATTGAAATCTAAGATGGCTTATTTGGCAAGCGGCAAGAAATGTGACTTAAAAGAACTTGCTTTGGAACTTGATGTAGTTGTCCTCTTCTGATATTAAAATTGTAGGCTTAAGGAGATATGATT